AATCGTAGGATCGCTAGCAAGCTCAACACCTGTGATGGAGCGAGCATTAGTCGGGTCATCTGAATAAGCTACTAGCTGCATAGCGGAACGAATAAACTGCGAACTATAACTGATAGAAATGTTCTAAGGCGTTGTACATTTAAGATAAGTAACTTACAATAACTAAGATTAGTAATTAAAAAAATTGTACTATTATCAACAGTTATCTAGTTACGAATTTTTACGATCCACTATGAATGAGTCAACTAACTCACGATAATCTGGTGAACATGTGCACCACCACGCACAAGTATGGCAATTTTTTCCGCATAGTAACGCCACAGAAGAGTGGCGAGATTTTCAGAACCGGGTGGAAAATATGCGTCGTATAACAAATGAAGATGCCCCAACAGCGACATAAAATTCTCCAGAACGGCAACAGCAACTTCAGCATCTGCAGGTTGCCAAGGTGCAAAGCCAGCACCAAACGGCTCCAGAAGTGGTCCAAAAACTCTCACACATTTCTCGAATATTTGATGTAGTTCTAAAAAGTTTTTTTTTTCACTCTCCTAACTTTTGCCATTCCTGCAACCACGACAGCAAGCAAAGTATAAACGGTAGGACAAGCTGCATACTGTACAAATGGTGCTGCGTAGGCAACCAGTGCCGTTTCTGAGGAAAAACTACATTTCTGAGCATAAGGCACTAAAGATTATAAGGTAAAAATTATACCGCAAGCGGTAATCTGCACGGCAAGCAGTCAAAAAAACAACTGAAATTCAACCTTACCCGATTCAAGTTTTGAAACTGATTGCTGCGAATCGAATGACATCGATGCTGAATTATAGAGGAAAAATCCGGCCAAAAATGATACTTTTGCGAGATATTTGGACCAGACGCCATATAATCGTGTTGTCAGGTCATTTCTGGATTTTTGAAACTGCACTGCCATTGTTTCACTTGCTGCTATCACCTAAATTTCAACCGCTGTAACATTTTCACACCGTACAAAACTATGACACAGATCTTCTAAAAAAAATGACCTGATCT